CTCGTAGTAATTTACTTATTACTATACACTATATATATATATATATATATATATATATATATATATATACAGTGGTGACTTTATTGGGCAACATCCCTTTACAGTTTTCTACCCTCTCTAATTAAAAACTACGATACCCTGCTTTGTACGATTTCATTTTTACCTCTTCCACATTCCATTCTTTCTTCTTCCTTTTAATCTCGCGTGCATCTACTTCATACCTTTCTAAACAAAGAAAATTTTTTATTTAAAAAAAGAAAACCGACCCTCTTATTCGTCGAAAATTTTCCTTCTCAAGATGAACTCCAGAGTTCCAAATTAATATATGCACACACTGACACTTTTTTCAACTTTTTTTTTTTTTGAGCCTCGCATCAATCGATGCTTCAAAAAATTTTAATTACACTTTCTGGCTATAATAATAATTCACATTTCTAAAACAAAATTTTCGTATCTATTTTTCATTTCTTCTTGTCTCTTCACATTCATTTTAAAACTTCCTTCTCGAAAATTATACATGCCTGTATAATATCGATTATCGAGCTCGAAATCTTCAAAAGTCAAAAGGAAAAAATTCATAAAAATGGAATTTCTTTTCTTTTCCAGTTTCAGAATGAACGCTACGACTTACACGAGCAGCACGTTGGCTGCTGGGATTATGAGTCTCGAGTCGGAGATAAGGATGGACAAGGCGGAGAGCGTGGACAGTGACCTCGATATTTCCCCGGTCACACTGTCCTCCGCGTGGTCCAGGGTGGCGAGGCTCCTCCTGTTGGCGTCGATGGCCGTCGGCGGCAGCGTTGGCAACGTCTTCATGATCTCCGCCGTGGTGGTCGAGGATCAACTTAAGAAACGAGGTAATAAATTATCCGCTTTCCTTCACTTTCTTCAAATTTAATCAGGATGTAATTACTCCCTGTACAGATTCTTTCTTTTCGAAAGTTTCCTTTTTATTTTAAGAAACGAGATCCGAACACTCTTATGAAGAAAAGAAATAATAATAATAATAATAATAAATACTTTTCGCTACAACCATTTGACGAGACGCAAAACAGTTAACGAAAAACTCCTGGTCTTCAATCGCAGTAAACATCTCCTTCCTCGCCTGCGAGAATCTCGCGCATATTACATATATTTATACCCCCGAGAAAAGAGAAGGAAACCGATCTTCCACGGAAGACAGTCGTCCGACGCTCTTTTGTGAAATCCACCCTTTTTTACCTCTCGTTGCGGAAAGATCCTTTCGCTTGCGATCCGTGTGTAAAATGACAAAAGCCTGCCACGATTGGATATGACGACGCCAAGGATAATGGAAGGAAGGAAGGAAGGAAGGAAGGAAGGAAGGAAGGAAACGCTCTTTGAGTCCTTCTATTTTTGTCTACCCGAGGTAGCCGGTATATCTCTCCTCGTATTTATTCAACCGAGGAGGAGGGAGGGGGGGGGCGGACGGCGGCCATTACGATAACAGATATCGAGAATTTTCTTGAAATTTTCTTCGAAATGTTTTCGAAAGGGCACCGATGTTAGAAAATATAGGGAGAGAGGCATTGTACGTGTACGTGTCGAGCACGAATTGATTACAGAGAAAGCCGTTTGTACGTATCTCGATTTTTACTTATACGAACAAGCGAGGTGTTACACGTTTCGTGAAATTTAAATAAAGGTGAAAATTGTAATAATAATGTTCGAAGGATAAATAGTAGGAAAAAAGAGGTGAGAATAATTACGAAATAATTATATACAGATAAATAGATGCAAATATATTAAGTTCTAGTAGTTAATGGTCTCGTGGCGCTAGTGTCGCGTCATTAATCGTCATAGTAAGATACCTATTGATTTGAAAATACATTGAATATATATATATATATATATATATATTGTTTATTTAATTCACTTGATAAGGAACTTTCAATCGACTCGATCGTTGATCAATAATGGAAAAAATAAAATTTTCCAATTCCTGTTTTGTTTTTCTTCTTAAAGAATCGTCTCGTAAATCCTTCGATTAAATCTTCGAAATAAAAAGAGTAGTTACATACTCGAGCATCGACTATCGATTGCTCGTAAGATGTAACATGGAACAATCCGAATCGAAATAATCGGAATATTTAATCTCGTATCCGGGTTTAACGTTCATGCCAAACCAACTGTAAACGACAATTTTTACGACACGTGGGAATAATATCTCGAGTCGTAAACGATTCGACTTTACAGCATGCAATGTCATTTATATCTCTCTCTTTTCTGTTTAATTCAATGACAACACAAGTAAATTGATCATTACGATTCGTAAATTACATCAAATACAACGATTATTGCGACAATCAAAATTTTTTACGAGCGAATAACGTTCGAAAAATTTCCCTCTTCTTGAATTTCTTCTCTTTCTTCTATATATCGCTAAAATTTTCTCGCCATTACATGCTATTTTTCAAAAATTTTTCCCCTCCCCTTTCTCTTTCGAACAAACTTTCGACGCGAGATATTTTCATTCGAAAGATCCCTTTACAGGTAATTCATTTTCCGTAAATCTTGATACGGACGTAAATAATTCCGGGTTCCGTGCACTGGGGGCGATTCAGCAGGAAAATTTCGTTCCAGTGTTACCTCGCCAATAAACTTCCCCCTTACATAACTGTTCAACCTTTTCCACCAACACAATCGTGATCACCGGCCTCCTCCTTGTAAGTAAAGGGAGGGAGATATATATATATATATATATATATATATATAT